ACGGTTCAAATATGTTTGAGGGCGTTGTGTATTGGGAATGTGCGTAATTGCAAGATACTGTACTGTATAAGTCTTAGTGAAAAAATGTGAAGAGTTCTTTTCGAGGTACATTGCGGAAATTCTGCTATATATACTCTGTTTGAATCGGTCATGAGGAAAAATATTCTAAATTTTATGACATGTGTCACGAGAGAGCATACGTTCATGCATAAATTCCATGTATATTTTAAACAACGTTTTCCAAGACTGCAGGAACATCTTACGCAATTAACTCGTCTCATGAATTAGCTAGGGCTCTTTATAAGGTATTAGATAGTGAGAGCGAAGCATTTCATAACTCAGCATTATTGGAACGCGTAGTGAATGTCTGATTGGCAGGAAGTTCGGTTTGCTGGAATCTAAAAGTCTGATTCAGTGGGTAAATTATTCAAGAAGATGAGTCGAGAGGATCGGGAAAGTATAAGCTTCATATTAGACAAAAGCGATCTCTCCTATGTGTGGTCTGTTTCTTCAGCATCACACTTTCCGGGAAATTATGTGGGCTTTCTTTTTCTAGTAGAGTACTGTACTTAACTAAGTAGGGCTGCTGTAGAGTGTAGATGACTCACTCAATGGATGCATATGCTGGTCGTTTCCTCAGATACTTCCGTACAAATATTTTTTCTTTCATGTGGAATGAGATTTTTTTTCTCAAACCTTGACTTGAAATTTGAACAAAAAGAACAGCAACTTTAAAATTGAAATTGAATCAAGCAAAATTGATTCAATTTCAACTCTTAAAGGATCAAGAAAAATGTTTGGCCTTATATGATTTCTCATCAAAGATTCTCTCTAAATTGTTCATTAAACTAAAACTCATACAGAAACAGGCTGAAGACCTTGTGCTTTAAATAAACTTTTNTAATACCCACTTTTTATGGTCTCAGTGGCCGCCTGTATAGACGTCCACCCTGGACGTCTATAAGGCCGTTTTTAGTGTGTAAACCCTAGCGGTTTACGCCCAAATTATTTGCTGGGATTACATCACATCAGAATGGAAAGTAGAGAAATAAGCTGCATATATGGATATTAAAAGAAAGTAAAATACAGTCAAACCCCAATAAGACGCCACCATTTGTCCAGATCAATTCTGGCAGTTTAAAGGGTTGGTGGTCTATTGAATATTTCATTTAAGTCATTTGTTCAAAAATACTTGATTTTTGTTCAAAAGTAATAGAAATACAAGTTTTCCAGAAACTTCAGTAATTTTCCAAAGATTATTGCTGTGATTTATGCATTACTCCTTTAGTAAAATAATTTTCTGTATCAATTTATGCAAATTTTAAAATTAGGTCTATATATTGTTAAAAGTTTTTGAAAAATGAAGATTGTCATTTTCTTTTTCTTCTTACCAATACAACATCCTGGACAGGAAATTTAATTGTACCCCAATGTTGGCGTCGTAGCAAAGACAAAACTAATACAAAAAAGCACTTTTGTCTCATCACTAATGCTGGCGGATGGCGGTTGGCATCTTATCAAGGTTGTCTATGGCATTTCATATTGAGGAGATTTGTTTCATTCAAATTGTTGGCAGTTGCCAAGGGTGGCGCTTTATCAGGTGGTGTCTTAACAAGGTTCAACTGTACATACCAAAATTTACCATAGAACAACTGATGTAAATATGGTACATTCCCTTTATTCTTGCCCTCCCTGATAACAAAAACAAAATATCAATAGTAAAAATTTGAAGCATATAAGGCAATTACTAAACCGAATTGAAAGTGCAAGCTTTTTAGCCTGCTCCCAGTTAAGTTGTAATTGATTAAACAATTTGAACTTTGATGAGAAATCATAGAAAGTCAATATAAATTAACAGGTTTTTTGTGGTATAGTAAGTTAAGTAGGGATGCTGTTTAAAAGTCAATGAAATGGCTGGATATTTGTTAGTTCAAATACTTAATTTTTTCAATCCAAAAAGTAGGTCTTTTCTGTTTAAACGGTGACTTGAAAACGTCAACATTTAAAGTGAATCAAGCAAATATCTCATGACAAGTCCAGTGCGCCTCGTCGGAGCCTCGAAGATTGTGCTACTGGAGAATTTGATGTTCAGCCCATCGCTGGCATATTATGTCTTTGTTGTTGTTGTTGCTGCTCACTGGACCAGACATGAAGGAATCTAGGAGACGAAAACTGAGGGGTCGGGAGAAGATGCGAGGAAATGCGAAACCAGGTCGCAAATCCAGGCTTTTAGCGGCGTCCATTTCCTCGAGCATCTCCGGACTAAATGACAGCTTTTCAGAATGCATCCGGTTGGAGTCCGCGAAAATTCGGTTTATAGCCACTGATGGAGGAAAATGCATGTTTCGCGATCTTTCTGATGCTCTTTTCTCTCTTTTCTTGTGCTCTTTGTATTTCCTTCTCAATCCTATATTCTCAGACCATACCTTTTTTTTTGCATTATTTTATAATGCTGGTCAGAAGTTTTTTTTTTTTTTTTGGTCTGGAAATATACACAGCTATACTTCATGAGATGGTCTCCTGAAAAGGCGGTGAAACGCGGTCAATCCGCTGTCATTTCCCCGGGGAAATTCGGTCTTGCTGTCGTTTCAGTCGCTTTGTTTTCGTTACTTCTTTGAGAATAGTATTTCTCAATAACTTTGATTCAACAAAAAACGAAGAAAATTGACTCTGAAGTCAATAACGAAAGACTATCGAACTGAGCTTGGGCAGAAATTTATCAAGTCCGACGACCTCCTCATGGTTTTTCATGATTCTTGGAAGCTTCAACGAAACACTGTTTCAAGTATGATTGCATAAGAACATGCTGCTCACTCATTCCAGAAGAATTAACAGTATATGCTTATTTCCATAAGCTTAAGGTTGAAGAAGCATACTTTCAGCTGGGCACGTTTTCATGACGATCATTAGTACAGTATTATTTTTTGTTGTTGTTTCATGACGGTTCGTGGCGGAACACTGTCACATATCCATTGTTATTCGTATTTCCGTCAGTGATGGCCTGTCATTAAACCTTATTAGGCAGCAGTGTAAACCTTATCATCTAGCTAGAAAGTCTACTATAGTAAGTACTGTATATGAAGGAACAGATGGCGAAAATGAGGGTGAGTCAACTATCAAAACACCACCCCAGTAAGACGATCTCCTCTGTTTTTATATTTTTAAAATTCCCTGAGAAAATTGTAAGCAACATGGCCCACATTACGTATAATGGCCTTTCGTATGATACTGATGACAGTGGATATTTTTATTGATACTGGATATTCTATTTCGGAGAACGAGTCTTTTTCCAGTGACAAAATACGAATTAGTTGCAGAAAATGCTTGCGCACGACATTCTACTGCAATTGATCATAGAAATAAGCTTTTTCGAGCAAAAAATATCTTTATTTGGCCACTCAAAGTCCATTAACTTTTTTTTTACACAAATTTTTTCACTGGATCTTTCGAACACGAACGTTTCCTTATAATTGGGGGTGAAACGAACTCATTTTACAAAGCTTTTCTGGTATAAAAAACAACTTCGCAACAGCTGGTCATTTAAAGTAATATGACGAAATTTTGAAATACTGTTAGGAATTGCGTTTTTTTAAAGCAATCTAGCTCAGGCTCTCGTATAATATCTGACTCTCCAAGGAGAAGTGCGGCTTGTGGGTGAACATTTCTAATATATATTCCTCACTCCATTCTCAGTGGTTTTTTGGGAAATCTCTATAGGCGTTTTATAAACTGTGTGAAGAATTTGGAAGAACACAAAAATATCTTCAAATGTATCTTATTCAACTATACAGTATATCCCGAATGAGATCCCTGAAATTGCCTATAGATGATTTTAAAAAGTTCATGACACTATTCCTCAAGAAAATTCGCGAGTGACGTTGTGTACATACTCTGCTTCTCCAGAAAATTGGCAAGATTTTTCGCGTGATATTTCCAAAAATATTTTCCAGATTCTTACATGTTTTTCCCCGGTCCAGTAATTTTCCGTCTCACAGAATTTGAGACCCTTGATCCAGGTCTACGTGAGCTGTAAAACAATTTAGAATATGAGCTGCCCGCGGAGGTGTAGACATCGGATCCTAGCCAGCGGCGTTTCACAGACAATCATTTGACGCTTTCGATTTCGGACTTCACAGGGAAATAATAGAATTCAAGTGAAACGAATTTCCTCTGTCATCTCGACGAGTGAGGCTCACTGAGAAAAAGGCCTGAAGGAAAAAGCTATAAAACTACGCGAGAGAATCGGTCTTGTAGAATTTGTGGCATGCTTTATAAGAAGTCGTTCAGAGAATATAAAAGGTGTCGACGGAAATTCTGCCTTTCGACTGGCGCATGCCATCAGTGGAAGATTTTATTTTTTATTAGCCAGTCTGTTACCCGAAATGTTTTATATTATTTGCAAAAAGTTAATTGCAGGCTTCTTCAGCCACGCTTTGATTTTGATACTACGCATGGAACCCTGAAGAATAATATCAAAAACTTCAGCCTTCTAAAAAATTAAATCTTTTATCGCGAGAAAACAAATATAGCTTTTTTTTTATTGATTTTTGGTTTTTGAAGTTTCCGCTTGGTCTCATATGTTTCGTCTTGCCTTTTGCTGTCAGCCAGACAAACATGTTGATCAATTTAATACAGATGACTGTATAACACTTTTTCTGTGCTGACGATTTCCTAAAAGCTTTCTTCGAATAAAAGGTCCAAGCTTACAGCATGTCGTTTCGAAATAGAGAAAAATTCGAATACATTTTTGAAGGATTGATGGACGCTTGTTTGTGGTTATCTGGAGCTACATATGCTTTTGTATGCCGAAATTCTATTCAATGTATGGTTTCACGCAGGATTCTCCAACTGACCCGCGGGAAACAAAAAGTTGGACGCAGAGAATAAATATATTTTTCATTTATTGTGACAGGATTTCGTAGGGAAAAAAATTCAAAATAATGTGACTCAAAGCCCTTTACTGATTATTCATTGCAGATTCGTGCTACGATTTATCCGACATGAGTCCAACGTATCGGCCTCCTGGTGGACTTCCAGGCCTGACCTCCAAGACACTGTTCAGCGCTGAAGAACTCAAGCACTTGTACCAGGGTTTCAAGGCCCAGTGTCCAGAAGGCGTTGCTAAGGAGGAAACCTTCAAGGAGATTTATGCCCAATTCTTTCCGCCAGGAGGTTCGTATTTCACCTATGCCAATTTGGGCTCCTTATATATAGGACTCGGGTCTTATTCTTCTCTCTTAAAAGAATTGCCCTGCAATCACTTTTGCAGTTAATTAACAGAGCCGAAGGGAACGGCAATATTGCACACTATTCCTGGAATAATGTGAACAATAATTCTTTGGTTTTTTATTGCTTTGTATTCTCATTTATTATACTTCCACTGGAATCGTTTTTTATAATTTGGGGATTCACTGATGGTCAAGTGGGGGATAAGTTTTAAAAAATCTTAGCGAGATCGATAATGTTGAGAAGACCGGAAAAATTTAAAATTATTTATATTCGATTTTCCATCGAATTCCCTTGATTTTGATGCTCTGATGCTTCTATGATGATGAAATCAGCATTCGAAGTTGAAAAACTGGAAAGAAACGTACCAGCAGCTATACTGTATGTATATGGAGCCCTGAAGCCATGGGTTTGTACATGGTTTAACTCGGTTTTACATTGTTCTGAATGATTTCGAAATAGTCAGTTTTTTATTTTCTTGAAAGGAATAATTCAGGATTTTCAGGAAAACATGAATTCATTGTCTCGAAATTCATCATGTCAGGATGGGGAGCAGCAAAAGATGTATAGCGTTTCTGTCTCTGCTCTTCTTTCAAATAACATTGAAAACACATGAAGCATTCTTGGATTTGATTCAGCTTTTATCTATTTTCTTGTGATTACTCTTGGAGAGTTTTGTGCACTGAAGAACATAAAAATAACTGCTGTTTGTCTTCTGGCATTTGTTGGAAATTGAAATGGGAATGTGGAAGTCTTTAGATGAGATTAGACTGGCACCATTAAAACATTAGAAAAGTGAAGGAGTCTGGAATCCTGTGGGACCTAGTTTGACCTTGAGTTCCCACAAGAATCCAAGTTCTTGGGGAAATCCTGCTGAAAGGATAATACTGCTCAGGGACAAACTTTTGCAAAACGAAAAGAGTTTAAATACCTGATTGATTTTATGCAGCATCATCAGTTGTTCTGTGCTTGTCTAACGCAAAATACTGCGGTTTTTGATCTGCGATCTACTGTTTGCCAAAATCCTGAACCTTGCTAAATACTGTATACCAACCTTACACTAGGGTGTAAAGCACCCCAGCCACAGCCCAGCTGATTGTTGTTTAAAGTTTATTCCAAATCTAATTTCCAACTCAGAAAATTTCTAACCTTTGTCAAATCTATTCCTAACAGCATTGATTGCCTTTGAAAAAATTGTTAAAGAAAATCATATTTATCCTGTCATATTCTGTAATGAGAGCACCATGCATTACTGAGAGAAAAATATCAGCAAACAAAATTGGAGTTGGTATCACTTGAAAGAAAAATTGAGATGTGGTGACTCATTCTATAGGAGCAGTGTTGAGACAAAAATAACTAAACACAAAATTAGAGTATTGGTCACATTTTTAACATTTTCAGACGCGGTGACTCATGAGAATATTTTACTCCACCTTGAAACACTTTATCCTGATGAGCACGTATTTCGGTTTAACTTGTATATACACTCTTTTCTTCTTCGTTTTTCTACAAGTTAAACTCGTTCTCGACCGTGAATTCTTCTTGACCTGCTCTGGTTTCCGTCAGAAAAAAAATGGGGGGAGGGGAAATACATGTTTCGATCGGGTAGATTGCGTTTGGGACTGCAATACGAGCTGAGCAGACTTTTATCTTGCATGCCTCCCCAGTGAACTCGGGTCAATACGCGCACCATCTCTTCAGATGTATGGACCACAATCAAAAGGGCGAAGTCAATTTCGAGGTACGTTTCCTTCAGTACGTCCGAAACAGCCGCGTACGTATATTAAATTCGTGTACCGCGTGTTTCTTGCATTTATTGGAATGCTAAATTGACGAACCATTGAAAGCGTGGCCATTCGTCTCAGCTGCGCTCCACTCATTTTCGGACGGCATTTCTTCTTCTTTTGTTTTTTTTATTACGGAATATACGCTCGTATTTCTGCGGAATGGCCAGCGCAAAAGCGCGAAATAACGAACCCCCAGGCAAGGGCACCGTTAGCCTGGGGAAGGTTACATGTGTCGTAAATCCGTTCATATATCTGCGCTTCTTGCTTTCTACATCTGAACTAAAACATCGCTGTTTATTTCCAAAAGGTGTACAGTACTGTATTTGGATTTGACATTTAAAAACGAATACGCAATAATTCGAAACTGAAAATTTCCATTTTGCAAATCTTTAAACAGTACGGCGCAACATGAGGAATAAATTGAGCCTGAAGATAATTACTATACTTAATGTTTTAAGTAAAGACATTTTTCATTTTTTCAACCTATATTTTCTCGTTTTGCATAAAGAATGTGCTTTCTTGTGGGGGCAAACAAAATTTTCACGTGAAAGAAGTACAAACCAAGAATAAACTATGAAAATGAGTGAGAATGCAAGCTATAAGCTAGTTGTACCTATATACTTGTCTGGTTGAACTGCCGAAACTACTTCAGCTGGAGTTGAAAATAAATAAATGAAAATAGAGTATTGATGAAGGTAAAAGAAAAATGGAAATCGGTTTTTTGATTGCTGCTTTTTCGATTATCCAATGACGTCTCATGCAGTATGTGATTTTCAATTTCTTGAATTTTTTGTATAGAGCATTAAATAAAAAAGAAACGTGGCATACTTGAGATTATTGTACTGTATTATTATCGTCATATCAGAATCTTTTCCGCATTTGGATTTCACAATTGTTTAAACTCGCTTATTTGCTACAGCTTGATATCATCCGCTGATGCTTTGTACATTTGAATAAAACCAAGTATCTAAATATGTCAACCAAAACATTTTTTCGTGGAAATCCGAAGTAAAAATTAGCCTTTAGATTCAAAGAAATCAATTTCAACTTCCAAGGAAGAATACAAATAAAAATTAACGCATACGAGAATAAATCCTTGGACCAAAAAATGAGAAATGCTTGCAATAGCAGTGGGGTATTACTTCTGATAAAGTGAAAGAAAATAAATGCATTTTTTATACTTTCGGTGGTAAAATTCTTTTCGATTACATGTGCACGCATTCGAATTTGTGTGTCTGTGTGCTGTGTGTGTACGTATACAGTATATACGCAATGAAAGAGAAAATCTTGTGATTGCAGATATTTTTTATGGAATTGAAAAGATGCAAAATATATAAGCAGCAAAGATGACAATATGGAATGATGCTACGCGACGCTCTCTCTTCAACTCTTGGATTGAAGAGAACATGACATTTTATGGCAATTCTCGTTACCCTTTTTGATTTTTGATTTTTTTTGCAATGCTGTAGGATTTTGCAGCAGCTATGTCAACCCTGAGCAGAGGACCATTGACAGAACGACTTCGATGGGTCTTTGTTCTGTACGACCAAGACGGCGATGGAAGGATTTCCCGGGCTGAGTTCTTGACCATTGCAGCGGCCGTGTTTGCATTGATTGGTCCTTACGCAAAGCCGCCCATCACTGAGCAGACTGTCGTCGACCAAATCAACTCTGCCTTCAAGGCAAGTTCCTCTTTATCCAAAATTATGTTCTCTTTTTTTATGTATACTCACACATACCACATGCACCTTACTTTCCTGCCTCTATTTTCAAGAAAAAAAATGTGCACGTGTTGTAAATATGGTACAATAATTTGCTGTTATTCTTCTCCATGTGTAGGACTTACAGAGGGGAAACTTGAGATGACTGATATGAGTCAAATGCGATTGCAGAAATTTAAAATAAATTGAGGGAAATTAAAGCGTGCTCCTGCGGGAAATTTTCATCATATGCTGGTGATTGTTCCCATCAATCCAATTTTGACACTCATGCTGAAAATCTTGTATTAACGAAATCGGATATGCACTGAAATCCAAGTGATCTACAGGTCGTGAAATCTAGCTTTTCAACCCCAAGTTTGGGAACATTTTTAAATATTTAGCCCTCTCAAAATCGGCTACAATAACGTCTTTGCGGCCTTTTTTTCGACTCACATATAGCAGAAAATTTTGACTGGGCGGTTTTGTTAATGCGTAAACATGTTGACGTTGAAGATTTCCTTAAATAACTGGGAAATTTCATGAAGACTTCCATCAGCGAGTCTTCAATCATATTTCAATCTGTCTTCGATCACTGCAGAATCATGAGGAAGCTTGCTTTTGGCAAAGTAGATTTATTTTGGATCCAAACTTTTTTCCGCAATAAGGAGCCAGTTATTGAATTTGTCGGAAAATACGTCTTGCATTCATACTGTATTCATTTCTCATGTTCCTTCAAATAACTACTGTACTATATTTTATGGTCGACTATTTTCATTGGTAAAAAAAATAGAAGTTAAATTCGGCAGTTCTCCAATCGTTTGAATCTCGTGCTGGAATTTTCAGTTTTCCGAAGAAAAAATCTCGAGTTTTCGTCCATTTTTATGGTATTAATAAACCCTGTGACAAGACCATACTGTACAACAGTTTCTATACCGAGCTCAAGCCTCGCGTAAGTTTTGAAGAGAAAATATGAATGCAGCACTAGTTTTTCTGTGCACGGGTAACCAAAGAAAATTTGCGGAAGAAATGGGGACTCTGAACTTACAAATGGCGTCGAAATAAGTTACAGGCAACGTGTTACCTTTTATTCCACGTGAGACTGATGTAGAGCACTAACGGATAATTGAAGCACATCAATCGTCATTCTACTCTGTCCTTCTCCATTAGAAACTGGATCTCGACAACGACGGGTTCATTTCGGAAGACGAGTTTCTCAGCAGTTGCCTCAACGACGACATGATCATGGCTTCAATGATGGTGTTGGAAGAGTCCCTCGCATACATCTGATCCAAGGCGTTTACATGCAAAATTGATGGAATTCCCTACGAAGTTTTTTTTTTTTTTTTATACTATGTTGAAAATTAAAGGAAGTGGCGTAAGAGGAAACAGCGGAAACGCGGAATCTTTCGAATTCTTCCAGATGAATGTTGAGCCAGTTGTTCCCGTTTTTTCCATTTTGCTCCAAATTTTTGGTATAAGCCGTTTCTGTGTTTTTGTGATTTACTGTCACGAATTTGAGATTTGCGCGGGTTATGAAAATATATGAAAAAAAGAACGAGTTCGTTATGATCTTGTACTGTACAAGTGTTTTCGGTGTTTTTGAAATAAACCAGATTTTTATGATATTTTATCATACGAGGGTTGGAATGATCAACTCTCATCGGGTACGTTCATCTTTTCTCTGTATACATTTCTTTCTACAAAAGTGCCCCACGCAAAAACACACAAGACCATTTCGATTTCGTAAGGGAATTTTCAATCCTGAAAGCTTAGTTTCACTGTAACGAGTGCTTTCATGAAATTGACGCTTGCTCACTGAAAAAAAAACACACAAAAAAAGAGAAAGCTTTTCTCATAAATCACCGCATAGCATCAATAACTGGTAACATCAACAGTTCATGATACACAGGATCCACCACAGATTGGTTCCATTATTTCGGCCTTCTGCAGAAAATGTCCGTTTCTTTCAATCATATTTCCATGCAAAACTCAGAATCAAGTACATTTTTCCGAATCCTATTCCGTATTTTTGATTCATAATAAACCAGTCAATATATAGGACAATACCGTATTTGAAAATGGTCTTCCAGCTATTACCACTCGTGCCTTTTTTTTAGAAGTTCCTGTCAGTTGATATACCGAATAAAAAATATCCTTGATTTAAATCGGTGGGTTAAATTACTGAAAATCCATCCACCGCCTGAGATCGGCAACATTTGAATTTAGCAAGAGAATTTATCGCTCAATTGCCATTCTGTCTTACAGAAATTTCAGTTTACAGCGTGATTATAAGCCTTCAAGCTTTCCGCAGATTTAAAAAAAGGAAGAAGAAATACATGAAAAACTATTCGCAGTTACTCGAAAATGCGGACTATAGTTCCGATATCAAAAGTCTGAAAAACAAATGCAGAATTATTTAAAACTGAGACAAACATACTTTAATAAATGAAATGGATCGTATGTAAAGGCTGATTTTCTCTTTGAATTTTTGGATCATTTCACTACTTTTGGGATAGACTATTGATCGAGTTATAATTTCGAAACATCGCAAGTTCTATGAGATTTCGCAGATACAGATGCAATATTTATTTCACGCATGCGTTCATCATCAGCTGCTACAATATTTTCAATGCAATTTGCACTCTATAATCTAGCTCAAATGTTCGCCTCAAAGTCAAAGTTTGACTCAAATTATCGTATAAATAGGTGGCATATATATTTTGGGGTGGGGCGTCAGTCGTCACTCACTCTTCTCTTTTTTTTTTAGTCAGGAACCGGAAGATTCGCAAGAAAATATCATAAAACAACCCTCTTTTCCGAAATTTGAATAGAAAAAGAAATACAACACACTTCCAGATCCAACGCGATTCTTTCTTCTTTTTTATATCAATAATGGTCCCAACTGTCCGGCGATTCGTTCCTTCGGCGATGTCCACCATGATGAGTGGGGCGTGACTTGGAGTCGTTGTCCGTGATAGGCGGGAGGTGCACTTCTTCGTACGCCTCTGTTGGAGGTGAGGAACCATCTTCAGACAACCGATCCGTGTCCATGATGGAATTGTCCACCGACACGTCGTCCTCTGTCGTCACAGTGCCCACACGGTTATTGTTGCCTGTCATGGTGCGTGCACTGGAACCCAGCACTGCGGTTTCCTGTCGGGTTGTCGCTACAGCATGTATACACGTTTGGGAAAAGGAAAACAAGCGAAATGTATCTGGCAACTCTCGTGCGACAGTACTTACAGAGTAAGGTTAATATGTCACTGGATAAACCCCGAATAGATTTACTGTATAGTATAGTTACTATTTTTAGTAGCTCGTTAACAATGGCGGGGCCTCGATGAAAATGTTTCGTCCTCGCAGCTGTTAATCTATAGGTTGGATCTCCAGGTTTGTGCTGTGATGTGTCAGTGTATAAGTCTTAAATGTGTTTTGGTGTCTTCAAAATCTTTAGTTTGGATCACCAAATTATTTTGAGCAGCAGCAGTAACATTGATTTGGAATTTTCATGGGACCAATGATTTCCGACATGACGGTTCATTTCAATGTATCCCAGTTAAAATTATCAATGCATACAACTGTTGTATTGAATGTTTTTTATGAAAAGGCGCGGATAAATAATGTACGTTTATCTTATTTAAAATTATTGTCAAATTGTCAAACAGGACTGATTTTTTTTGTGCCAAAGAATATGTTTTCCTTAAGGAATAAATTTTTTCAGCTCGATTAGACGCCATTTCCATTCCGAAAACTTTTGTTAGAACCCCCGTATGTGGGACTCACCGGCAGTTCTGCGCAAATCAGCATTATTGTGATACTCGTCGTGTTTGCGAGGAAAGTTGCGCAGCCAGGCCGACACTTGTCGCAAACGATTGTTCTCTCCTTGTCGCTCCCGTTCGTTGTAGTCGACTAGTTGCTTGTAGTAGTCCACGACAAAGTAGTGGATGAACAGCATGAGTGACAACAAGACCAGCGACACACCTTCGGACACCACAGTGAAGGTGTCGTACTCGGCTAGGATGACCAGTCGGAAGCCGGAGTTGATCGCCACAGAAATCAACATGGCGAACTCGTACGCGGAATAAAGCAGCCATACTAGAATGTAGAGTGGATTTTCCTGAAACAAAAGAAGTTTTGGATAAGTACAGAGGAGTTACAACAACAACAAAAAATTATGGATTTTATGGTATTATGTCAACTCTTGAAGCATCATGGAAGGTATATTGAAGGTGAAATATGTGTTTGTCATTGAATATATAACCGAGAACAAATGTTCAACCTTTGGACGTTGTGATGCGAGAACCTCAATCAAGATGACTCGCTACATGAAGCGTGTGCTATTTTGAATTCTTCGAATTTCAGATTCGAACATAATCAAGAACGTTTCTTCACGACAAATGTGTACACCTGACGGAGAGATGGACAAGAGAATATTGAATTTGGAACTATTTTAGATTCCTTCAAAAGCTTTATGATTGCGGCTGTTGTTGTTGATTGCAAGAATTTGAGATCAAAAAAGTTTTCCTCACAGCATCAGGTACTGCTGCAAATTTAGTCAGCCATTCCAAAGAAAATGGCAATTTTTCAAGTCAGTTTTATCTTCAGCTTAATCTCTCGAAGAGAGCACACGTATTCAATTTCGTTTCAAGCCTAGTCATAAAAAGACTAGTTTTGGCAATTTGCCAAAACTTTTACTTGGAAGCTTCCATGAGAACTGAGTTTCACCCCAACTCTCACAGAAAATAGAAAAGAAAAAATGGTCCTAAAATCCCGAACCTTTAGAAAACCCAAAACAGTAACTGAAAACGGAAATTAAAAATCTAAGCAGAATTGCAGTGGAAATTTCCAAGTCCTTGTAATCCTTCTTCTAAAAAAGGGTCCCACAGGGAATTCATTTTGTCTTGAACTGCAGTACCAAGAGGATCTAATAAACCAATGCTTGGCAAATTTGGTGCTTGTGCAAACCAGTATCACAATATATAAACATTAGAATAGGGTGTTTAGTCACCCCAGTTGTAGCCCAACGGAATTAGTCCGTTTTATTCCGTTTCGTTTTAAAGAATTTGAACATAACATCTACATTTCCGACAGGTACAAATTCTTACAATTTTAGATTTTACAACAGAGCTCTTGGATTATGGAACATATTATTGCAATAAAAGTGAGTGCAAAGGCAAATCTTGAGTTAACGTTCAAGAACAAACTTCGAACGGTTGGAAGAAGATCATTAAAATGCTTTAATTTCAATGGCTTAAAAAAGATGAACCTTTCAATCAATTTCAATTCGAAATTTTGACCAAAAAATGATCACAAGGTATTCTAAATCAATCATTTGAATGATATTGAATTTCTCTGTCATGCTTTGATACGAGCATTTTCGTTTTCCGTTGTCATGGAGTAACGACTATGAAACTTTAACAAAATTCGAGAATTTTTTTCCTGTTATTGATTGTGTACTGCACTGGTATCTCTCCAGCGAATAACTCAAGTGGAATAATGAGTGCATAGGAATCCATTTCAATTCAAGTCATATTCTGTATTCTGGGAAAGCAGCCCTTGAAATTCGGCAAAAAAGGAAAATTACTTCATTGAAAGGTTACTTCCGGCGTTTCTTTACAACGAGCAGCTGAAAAGGGGCTTTTCTTTTGGCGTTTGTTGTACAAGTATTTATGACACAGCACACTGATGGACATTGCCAATTAATCAACATCATGGATCATTCAACGTATCGCACAACGGTACACCAGAATTTTTCTCAGTACAGAGAAGTCACTTTCATTCGAATATACAAAACGGAATGCGATTGAATGACTTTATTGACGCATCATAGACTCACTCTGACTCTCTGTCAGACCAATAAGATTATACTTTTCGTATGAAAGCGGAAACCACTTCATTCTAGAACAAAATGATGCCGATGAGAAGCCCATCTATATATAGAAGGGGTTGATTTTGATATACGGCTTTCTCTGGCTTTTTTGTCGTTGTTATTAAGTATATCCGAAATCACGGAAAGCTGCTCATATTTCGGGGTAAGAATGAAGGGTTGTATAGCTTTTCTCCGACAAGAAGTCGGCTAGAAAAATCAATCTAGCTGGACTTCAAGCAAAAATGGAATATTCCCTCCATGAAACGATATCATGACTGATGCTATAGGCTTACTTTGGGTCCAGCTGAAAGCTATACGGAGACTTCATATCTTGAACTCAAGTGTCCATTCCGTTTTCGAACAGATAAAATTGATTTACACTTTCTGCATAATTTTCCATCTGAGGCTTTCCATCAAATAGTTCAGCAATGTACTATGGGCAATTTTGACAGTATATTTATAGCCTGATAAATGCACATAACTCGTATATGGAAGTCTATGAGTGTTATTTACATACTTGGTTTCAAGACATGCAAATTAGTAGATTTACTATAGCGGTCTATATAAAAATACAGCGTAGCAACCCTTCTTCTCATTTTTTAAAAATATATTCAGAAGGCCGGTATTTTTTTCCGACAGATGTCACATAAATTGCAGTCTGTGTTCCATTGTGGAGACACGTACCAATTTCATGATACTTGAATTAACAATAAGGTTCCCCCAAAATATCCTGTGTGAGCATCACAGCACAATGCCTTGGCTCTTCTTGATAAAAAGTTTGTGCAATGTTTAGGACCTACATATTTTCTGGCAGCATCATATGAATCCATCTTGTCATGGGTCCATTGGATCACAGACAAAGGAATTCAGTAAATTTCAGCCCAGTTCAAGAATTGCTTTAGAAGGACTCCATTGTGACAGCTAGAGAAGTTTTTTTTCAGTGTTTTAGATATCTGCTGATTTCGTCCTGGCTCACGATCGGCCATATTGAAGAAGAAAAAAAGAAGTGATGATTATTGGCCTTGAGAAATATTTAGTGAGCTTCATCAAAGAAGATATTGGTGAGACTCACAAACCCGGCTAAAATATACGAAAAATAGGTTTCGAAGTTGATTTCACTGTGCACTGAAGCAATGAAATAATTGCATTGAAAAATAATATCCAAGCGCAGATGAAAGCAGTTGTATCTTCCTTATATTTTTTTTGGTTTTCATACTAAATGTATGTCTATACAAAAATAGAAAAAATAGGTTTTGAAGCTGGTTTTACTGCACACTGAAGCAATGAAATAATTCCACTGAAAAATAATCTCCAAGCGCAGATGAAAGCAGTAATATATTCCTTATATATTTTTTTTCTTTTCATACTATATTTATATCTACAAAAAATACCAAAACTAGGTTTCAAAGCTGGCTTCACTGTGCACTGATTCCACTAAAGCAATGAAATAATTTTATTGAAAAATAATCTTACAAGCGCAGATGCAAGCAGTTATATATCTTCTTTATATGTTTTAAATTTCAAACTAAATTCATACCTCAAATGCTGGTATAGATTGCATTTTTTTTCAAATTCTAGAACCTAGATATTTCAGGCTGAAAATTTAGATTTAATTTATTTTTTCGTTTTATCAGTTCAACTATTCAAAATAGCCTCAGGACATTCCCTATCTTCATTTTGACGACGTCTATCCTGACTCCGAATCCGGAAAATATATAGCCGGAAAAATTGATAGATCATGAATATCCTCAGTACTTGTAGATCGATAGTGCACCACATTTTCTTCAAAATATCCCATGAATAACGAATAGCCCTCTGTTTCGCAGTTCTTGAAAAAACTGCAGTACATTTGCCACTCCCGATGCGCCTGAAGAAGAATGAAAAATCGAAAGAATCTCGCATTTTGGTGAACAGGAGGCACCTTCACATAATTATGGTATAAATGGAGGGGGCCTCTTTCGTCACTTCATCTTCCTTATTGTTTTTCCAGACGAGCAACAAGACAATAACGAAGAACTGACGCATGGACAACGCCATTCAAGCGAGAAAAAAATCTTTCAATTATCTCATCACCTACACTCCAACTCTCTTTGTTCTTCCATCAGAGACAATTGAACGATTCGATAATTTCTGATGAACATCGTGGACCAGAGTTTGTGAAACATGATGGAAAGATGGCGCATCGATCGCTCAATATTACAGTATATATTCAGTATATACACACACACACACGCCGTGGGAGGATTGAATTATGCAGAAAAACACAAGCGTGCCAACGAAACGAGGTGTGGGTATAACAATTGGGTTAAGACTTGCCTGGTAGATTCCCTTTAGCAGAGCAGAGCTCGCCATGAACGCCAATATCGTCAGCGTCGTGCCAGCAATCGGGTCAACTGCGAATAACGGGAAAGCACACACGTGTTAGTGCTTTAGGTTAGCTATTTTCTGAAAACATAGACCTCGAAATACTGGAGAGAAAAAAAAAACAGTGCTGTGGTACTCATCGCACAGGTTCATTCTACAGAGTGCCAATGACTGATGAAATGTTTTCGAGGGGGAATGCCGTTATTGAACTCCAACATATATACTATTATTTTCACCCTCGCACATTTGCGGAAAAATTAAATCATGGACTCCTCAACTTAACAAATGCTGACCTGACATCTGCATAACACAGCAAAAGTTATAAAAACTTTCTAAAAAATATCCGGAAAAATAAAAAAATAGACATCAGATACATTTTTAAATGCGATATCTCTTAAAGGAATTAAGCAACCGCCTCCTATGATAATTCAATACAGAGCTTCATGTGGATAAATGCCATTAAATTATTTTTAAAATACAATGCACTTATTTTGCTTCCCTTTTAGTGTTTTTTCCGTCAATTATTGACAGTACAGTATAGCAATATTTTTTGCATGAGAACGTGTTTGTCTTCTGAAATCCGTATTCTGCGCCAAAACGACTGATTCTGGGTGGTTCACTTTTGTGCAGAAATTTTCTGTGGTTTCAAGTCAAGAAAAATGTTTCCAATATTTTTTTTTCTTACGTTTATATTCGGAAATTTGATCCAATAAGTAATAGTGAGTAATAATGTTCGCATCTTCAGTTTCGTCCCTTTCTTCCCATGGAAAACATTTTCAATTGAATCATCTTTATTTCACTGGAAACATAGTCCTATAATTTTAAAATGCTTTCCTTGTTCATATACTGTAGTCGGGTCTTTCGTAGGGAAATACTACTGTTTCGAGCATGTTTCAGAGCATTCTCACAGCTCAGAATTTTCTGAAAAGCCTATATTTATGGTGGACACGCAATTCAATGCAAACAAATTTATTTTTGGTCAACTTTTAAACGTAAGCAAGTGCTTATCTAAGTACCCTTTTCCATGAAAAAAGGAAAGATCAGATCAATGAAGTACACATTTTTTCTCGAAGAAATCATGAATATTTCAACGAAATGACATTCCTGCAGACAGGGCCATAATTTTCTTGAATTTTAAGCTCGGTTGCATTCGGCCATGTTCTTGGAAAACCCAACAATCATGCTTCACTGCAAAGGTCAGGTCAGCACGCGTTCAAACTAGGTCAACGTATATTACCGCCAGGCATGAAATGAACGATGAGTAAGCTTTTCGGATCGAAATAAGAGGTCAAATGAAAGCCGCGACGATTAAATCGGGTTAGGTTTTGAAACACATGCATCGAATTTCTGCAAATCATATTTGAAAAGGGCATTATTTGAGTCTAGAAAAAAAGTTTTCCTGTATGAGTAGAAAGTCGTTTGTGCTAAATAATTCACAACAGCGGGCAGCTTCGAAATTATTTCAGGTATTTGGAATGCATCGTTCAAAAAGACAGCCTATTTCCGTCAACTCCTGGGGTATTCACTGGACGAATGCCATTGTTTCGCATCATATTCAAATATTCATGAATAAGTAGGCATTCACAACGTCCAATATGCATTTCCAGCAAAGCACAACGACGAGGAAAATAATTCGATTAAAAAAAATAAAATAATAATTCGAATGCGGTATCTTTCACATACGCACAGAACTGTGTGGATATTATCGAAAGTAGTAAAATTAGCAACTTCAAACTTCCACGATTCGTAATTTCATTATGATGTACCTCTAAAACATCAACGGAAAATGGAAATTGGACCAATCCAGATGCGAAAGGTAATTGCGACCTTCTGGTGCAGAAAAATCTGTGAATATTGCGTAGAAATGTACCGCACTTCGCAAGACAAGCAAACCGAAAGGACTCAATGAAAAAGAAAACAACGAAGAAAAAGTACAATATTCCCAAATGCAAATGTCTGCATTCCGGAATACGGAAATCTGTATAATCCAGATACGCTGAATAATAATAAGCGAGAAAATTCTCAATATTTTATGCGTAAATTAATTTCTAAAACAAATGAACATTGAGTTGAGAAAAAACTCGAATACCTTGAAGTAAAACACTCTATAAAATTCTGGAAAGCCTGGAAAGCACATGTCATAGCAATATTTTTAATCAGAAACTGAGCAGGTTGGAAAATTATCCGTAGCCTGGGTAAACTCTGCGACGGACTCGAAAAACGCATCAGTGATAAATTTAAGGTATTCAAATGAAAATGCGGTACAGTGAGACCCCCACATATATGCAGACACTTTGACATGAGGACAGTTTGACGTAAGGACATTTATTTTTCAATAAAAAAGGCATAAAAAGGCCCCAACATGAGGACACTAACTTGACATGAGGACATTACATGATAAAATTGCCAATAAATTTCACAAAAATTGACTGTTATTTGGCTTGATTGCAAGAAACGGATATTTCCAACCCCAAGATTTTTACAAGAAAAATTCTTTGTCATTTTTCCCATCCTTTTCCCATCCATTCAGCTAATTAAAAAATTCCTATTGCATAGAGGGACTTCCTCCTCTCTTTGTGACTTGAATTTTATTTTTGTAGATGCCAACATTTCAATGTACAGTACAGAGATGCACTATTCAATGCTCTAAATGTTCTTATTGAGTTGAAAATATATTCAACTGAATCAAATTCAAATGGCAAACAAATTTTTTTCAAGGAATTCTGAAGAATATTTCTTCCATAAAACATCAATTAAAACTTATATAGTGTAAGTCTATGAGAAAACAAGACTCAATTTATGGACAATTCAACTCAGGGACACTCTTGATGATGCACAAATTATGTCCACATCTGGGGGTCTCACTGTATTTATAAAATGGATAAAAAATAAATTACTCACGTCCAGACTTCTTTTCAGGATAAACCAAAGAGTAGTAGGTCATTACAAGCTCCCCGGCAAAGGCCAAGCACATGATGGTCTGCGTTTTTCCCATGTGATGATCCCGACCAGAAGGAAGCAGCCCACGGGATAAACCGTGCATTTCGCCAGAAAGTATAGCAGAAGATGAAGAGTGAGTTTCACGGAAAATCCATATAAAAGTCCCCTTTTTTCTTTTCTTTTTTTTTTGCCCTCATCCCTCACATATTACTTTTTTTTCCCCTGCCCATCGCAGTTATCGTCTTTCCTTTTTTATTCCCCTTTTCCCTTTATATTTTCAGAATACGCATATACGAGTTCTATATATATACGAGTCGACATTATCGAGCCATATTACTCTAAAGGTTAACGGGGCTGGAATGGACAGGNGGACTCAATGAAAAAGAAAACAACGAAGAAAAAGTACAATATTCCCAAATGCAAATGTCTGCATTCCGGAATACGGAAATCTGTATAATCCAGATACGCTGAATAATAATAAGCGAGAAAATTCTCAGTATTTTATGCGTAAATTAATTTCTAAAACAAATGAACATTGAGTTGAGAAAAAACTCGAATACCTTGAAGTAAAACACTCTATAAAATTCTGGAAAGCCTGGAAAGCACATGTCATAGCAATATTTATAATCAGAAACTGAGCAGGTTGGAAAATTATTGGTAGCCTCGGTAAACTCTGTGATTGGACTCGAAATACGCATCAGTGATAAATTTAACTTATTCAAATGAAAATGCGGTACAGTGAGACCCCCACATATATGCAGACACTTCGACATGAGGACAATTTGACAGAGGGACATTAATTTTTCAATAAAAAAGGCATAAAAAGGCCCCAACATGAGGACACTGACTTGACATGAGGACATTACATGATAAAATTGCCAATAAATTTCACAGAAATTGACTTTTATTTGGCTTTTGATTGCAAAAAACGGATATTTCCAACCCCAAGATTTTTGCAAGAAAAATTCTTTGTCATTTCTTCCATCATTTTCCCATCCATTCAGCTAATTAAAATAATTACCTCTTGCATATAGGGACTTCCTCCTCTCTTTGTGACTTCAATGAATAAAAACATCTACGGTTGTAAAGTTACATGTCATGTCTCTACGTGATAAGTTACGAGATTTACAAGAATAACTCAACTTTTATATAAGTTGACTTAGTTTAAGTTTACCGTTTGTTTAAAAAAAGAAGGAATTCTGAAGAATATTTCTTCCATAAAACATCAATTAAAACTTATATAGTGTAAGTCTATGAGAAAACAAGACTCAATTTATGGACAATTCAACTCAGGGACACTCTTGATGATGCACAAATTATGTCCACATCTGGGGGTCTCACTGTATTTATAAAATGGATAAAAAATAAATTACTCACGTCCAGACTTCTTTTCAGGATAAACCAAAGAGTAGTAGGTCATTACAAGCTCCCCGGCAAAGGCCAAGCACATGATGGTCTGCGTTTTTCCCATGTGATGATCCCGACCAGAAGGAAGCAGCCCACGGGATAAACCGTGCATTTCGCCAGAAAGTATAGCAGAAGATGAAGAGTGAGTTTCACGGAAAATCCATATAAAAGTCCCCTTTTTTCTTTTCTTTTTTTTTTGCCCTCATCCCTCACATATTACTTTTTTTTCCCCTGCCCATCGCAGTTATCGTCTTTCCTTTTTTATTCCCCTTTTCCCTTTATATTTTCAGAATACGCATATACGAGTTCTATATATATACGAGTCGACATTATCGAGCCATATTACTCTAAAGGTTAACGGGGCTGGAATGGACAGGAAATCTTTCGACAATCGACGGAAATCGGTCCTATTGGTCGAGTCGTAAAATAGTGCAGACACACGTCAGTGAGAACATTTGCGCCGTTCCTTGTCAGCCACTTATTGCTGAAAAGTACTCTTCCTCTTAGAAGCATTTACTGTTTACCCACTTCCTCTGGATTCACCCTGATAATGCTTCAATAATCCTTCATCCAGCAGAGCTTTTATAGACATTTTCGCACACCTTGCCTCTTTCACACCATCTGGCATTTGTGCTTGTATAGCAATGTTGGATTGAAGTGCCCCTGATACTAGTCCTGCATGGGTACGTTATTGCCATTTCCAGAGACATACCGTTCACCTTCCAGAGGCAATAAAAGACGAGAAGTAAATAGGAATATTTTTAAATCTGTCGTCGAAAAGGAGAAGACTATGTATTGGGGCTAAATAGAACCTAGTTCAGTGAATTGTTTGAGAAATATTTAAGAGATCATTGAACCAAGAGCATTCGAAAGGCGTGAACTTTGTACTTGGGTGGATTACTCGAGTTCCTTGGACTTTCAGTGACTTCTCACATTTTCAAAGTTTGTGCATGTGAAGATTCTCAATAATCTCACAGTGCCATGACAATCCGTATGTTTATTCAAGGAGTCAAATTCTACATAAATGAGCTCCTTGGGCAACAATAAAAGCGACCTCCTTTGTATCAAGAATACAATATAATTCTACAAACGAAGAAACGGCCGTATATATAGACTATAGCAAATTTGCCAGCATTTTGTTCTTCCGCCAGAAGATTTTTAAAAACACTGTATATGGAATATGCATCATTCACAATTTGTTATCTTCTACGGATGATGTCTGAATTGTGATGATTCCGTTCACAAATCCTTCCTTAATCGATGAATAAATTGTAAATGTTCGGAAAATAAGATTTATTTTCAATTAGTAAAATTCTTTTTTTTTTTGAAGAATTTTTCTTCTAAGGATCAACAAAAATCTTTTTCCGGTCTACCTTTGCATAAACACGGCAGATATTCAGTAAATGCGCGATTTCCTCAGTTCGTGAAAGCCTATTTTCAGCCAGCATAGTATACGTGCTTGCATTTAAAAAAATATTTTTTGGTGAAAAAAATCCCTTAAACCATTTGTACATACAGATATCAAGTATATATTTCACGAAGAACTTTTCACAGAAAATAATCCTTGCGCTGAATTCGCCTGAAGAAGAAAGGACCTGGACACCTGGTTTGAATTTGCATAAGTCAACGCACTCAAACAGCGCAAAAAAATTCATTTACGTATGTACAGCATTACTATTTCTGGGATTATAGGTCTGATCAAGAAGGCAGACATTTTGAATGATTCAAAATTTTATCTTCGTGAGTTTGAACTTCAACCAACTAGGTAAATGATTCTAAGTTAATTCTGGTGAATATTTTTACTGCTTACATTTCTTGCGTAATAAAATGGGGTATAGAAATAGTTTGTCATAATAAAGCCAGGTATAGAATCTTTGAATTTCAACTCTGGACGGATAAAAATACATAAGAAACACAAATTTGGAAAAGGCTTTCAGCTCAAAACTATGAATTGCACATTCATGCTGCCTTCAAGCCCTGTTGAAATATAAATTAACGACAAACTTTTAATTTTGCTAATTACAGTAAATCCAACTAATCAACTGAACCCGTTTCCATCACATTTTCTAAGCTTTTTTCAATACGACGTAGCTGAGAATTTGTTACCCGCGTTTGATGAAATTTTCATTGAACCACGGTTGCAGAAGATTATTGAATAACTTTGTCACACCATTTCTGACCTCTTTGCATGTCATAGGATGAAGTATTAAATTAAATCACGCGATGTCGTTCAATAACCGCAAATTATCCTTGCATGGTATAGTCGTAATTCGGCGCAAAAAAACGCTCCAGCAGGAAAATCATATTTTTTGCTACATACCTTTCAGCAAGCACGACCACTCAATCTCAATCTCCGTCGGAAACTTCAATTAACATAATTTCTTCGACATTTTTAGTTAAGGCATCATGAGTCCATGAAAACTGAAAGGATTTCCGAACAAATCCTGGAGTCCCGTAGATGTTTCTCAAATAATGGTGCCTTTTTTCTCTCAGAGGCTCGTCGTGAATCATATATTCAAAAGAATAAATCTGCCCCTTATTCGAAATCATGAATCACTTCATTTGATAGAGTTAAGTTAAATTTTAACGGTTTTTAGCGGACGTAGTTCAAATAGCACTTCGGCAGCCAAATGCTAGTCCTGGGTCTAATGCCGCAATAAGTAAGCTACTAGGCCTTTTCAAAACTTTAAAGGGTAGGATTCCATTAATGCACTAATTTCTGGTGCACGTATATCCTATGCACTAACAGTACTTTGATTCCATCAAGTTTTCATGATGCTGATTCAAATTATGCTTTGAATTTTCATGAAATTTTATTGGATAAAAAATGCGTAATTTGCGAACATACTGTATTTTAAACCTGTCTTCCTCAACCAGTGAGTCCGCAGACCGACTCTGGTCCGTTATAGAAGTTTTTCGGCGGTCAACGGGAAATTTGCTGCAGTATATTTTAACAAAAGTAGCAATGAAGTGTGTTATTGTTATCCTTACCTAAAATTTTGGAAAAACAATGGCAGTTGAAATTATTAGATGGAAAAGTAAAAGTTGGCTTTTCTCCCAGCACTTTTATTTAGCCCAATTGTTACATGCTGAAATAATTGATTTTAATTATTTGATCCTCAGAAACCTTTCTTCAAGCCCACCCTTCTAATTTTTTGGAGATACTGCATTTCCCTGTAGCTGTTTCATTGGTTATTAAGCTTTTCATTATTCATTAAATTTTTAAATTCCTGCCTTTGAAGAAAAATGTTTGTGGGTCTGCAAACATTTCATGAAACTGTGGCAGTCTGCTGGAGACAAATTTTGAGAAATTTTCTGGTCCGCAATAATTTTTTATTCAAATTTGCTGGTCTGCAGTCCCAAAAAGGTTGCAGAACAGTTGTTTTAAACTATCAGAAAGAGCCATAGTTTTTTTGAACCAAAGAGAGACTCTGGACAATTCATCATGAATTTTAACCCTTGGACGGCAGAGGGTTCTTTCCCGTAGCAGGACAGAGTCAGATTATTTTCCTATCCTCCCACATTTTCATAATTTTGAAGGTCAGAAAAACCCTTCCAGGTGGGCTGAGGCAAAGTTGGGATAAATCCAAAAAAAAGCTGATAGCCTCACTGAGCTTTTTTTTTTAATTTTGCGGCAAAAGTTTTCTGTGCCCAGGGAAAAAACATTGCAATTTTTCCCAACTTTGCCCTTAGCCC